CAAACCAATGACAAATACTGGCACAAATTTTTTGTGTCAAAATGCATCAAGTACCAAATGTGATGAGTTTCAAAGCAACCAAGTACCAAGATATGACTGTGAGGGCTGGGGATTTAGCTCAGTGGTGCTGCTGCTGGCCTCACAAGCGCAAGGTCCCAAGTTCGAGCCCTGGTAGCCCCCAAAACCAACAAATAAACAAAAAGTTATGACTGTGAGTTCAATCTCTACTCAGAAGCTGCTGCAAAGTGCTGCAGTAGCCCTCAGGGACCCAAGCAGGGCAGCAGCAAGAAGTGCTCAGGGGTCTGCAGAGGAAGGTGGGCAAGTCTGCCACAGGGCCATTGTGGTTCAGTCCGAGGACCCTGAACCTGGGTGGACATTGGGATGGGCATGGAGAACCCAGGTAGTAGCTGGTGAAATTTGGGCAGGAGCACTGCCATGGGGACAAGTGGCACAGAACTGTGCTCGCGCATGCTTCTGCATGCCGCTGTGTGTGGAGTGATGCCAGCTCATCCCGATGCACATGGGTCTGCAGAGCCTGGCATCTCCAGCTAGATGGCCCTGTGGAAGGACTGATGCTATCCTAGGCCACCAGTGACCTTGACCTCCAGGTTATTTTCAATGAATGAAAAAGCAGGATACAAGCTAATGCTTCCAGTCTTAATGATGTTTAAATTAGCCATAAAATTACAAATTAGGGAAGGGAAGACAACAAGACAGTTTAATAATGCAATCAATGCAAGGCTAACAATACGAGGTATGACTTTTTAACTGTGAAAAGATATGCATACCATCAAGTTTACCTAACTTCTGTCCAGCATATAGCTGGGGTTATCAGGCACATTCACATTGTGCCACCATCACCACTGTCCACCTCCAGAGTGTGACTTGGTCATAAATAGCTCTGTCCCCTTGAGCACTGTGTGAACTTGGATGAAACAATCACAGCCTCATCATGAGCGCAGGTGTCCTTGTGTTGCAAGTCTGGGGTGACACAAATGGTCTACTTCAGCCACACCATGAAAGTTTCATTCCTCTTGTTGCCTGATGAGGTCTGAGGAGGTCCTCCGAAGAGGAGACGGGCTCTCAATCCAGCCTCTTGACCCTTGTCATGGAAAATGGGTTTTTAGGACATGTCAGTGAGGGACATAGAAGGATTTATTAGGCAGAATTACAGTACAAGTACACACTTAGAATAGACCGCAAGCGGGCCGGGGATTTAGCTCAGTGGTTCAGTTCAATCCCTGGTACAATAAAAAAAAAAAAAAAAAAAAAAAAAAAAAAAACC